TAGTAAAAACATATATGATTTACTCATGAAAGTGGCCACTTTCTCATTACTTTCATATATTTTGTTAGTAAGTATCCAAAACATACAAGTTTCATTATATAATTTTTCAAGGGATCTTATATTTGTTTTCACTCTTGTATGCTTTTCATACAAGTTTTATACAAGACAGATACGAACTTTATAAGATTTATATATATCTTTTCCATATGGGAATGCTCAATTCCAATTTTTTTGGTCTGCTTATTCACACTACAAATAAAATGTGACAGCAAAAGCAAAGCAAAAGACCCAGTTTAGACCCAGACCAAACAGTATTGTTTGACTGATGGCCCTTAATGTAAAGACTTTTTTCGGACTTTACGTTTCCTAATTTTGCTTTAAGTTATAAAGTTATTTTGTCATTTACATATGGCCTAATAATTATCCTTATTGCTGTTTTAGAGGAGCGGTGCTTCAAAGGATAGTTGCAGATTTCTGTCAGAATCTGCAGATTATACAGTACAAATAAAATGTTCACGTTTCTCCAACGTTGTCTTTCAAACAGTTTCACTAACATCTACACTGGATGGCCAGGAAGCGTTCACGACGTCTTGTCCGGTGCTGATAATTGGCGTCTGTTTTGTGTCAGTGACGTAAAAGACGGATTTCATGTGACATGACCATCAAACAGCAGTCGCTTTCTAAAACATCAGATATATATCGGATTCAGTACCGCATACGAAAGTGACCCAGATCGGATTTGATGCGCTTTCACCTGCAGTGTGAACGTAGTGTGCGCCATCTCTGAAAAGTGCTTAGAAAGGGGAGTGCTGGGCTTTTTAACAATTTTGTTTTATTTTTATTTCAACTATCCAATATTCAGAATCTGCAACTGGGACATATACACTAAAATCATCTGATTAATTTTAATTACACTAGGCATCAAACCATTTTTTGTAGGATTTTATCTTAAATTGAGATATTATTTTAAAACTTGTGTAAGATTTAAGTGTGAAAAGAACCACCTGAAAGTGAGTCAACAGTCCCACTTTTCAAAAATATTTATCTTGAAAAATATATAAAAAAAAAAAATATAAAAAATTGTATCTTGGTAGATTTAAAAAAAAAAATGTATTTAATGAGATTTTCCAATGCCTGACTAAAGCTGGCAAGGAAACAAAAAAAAACGTCTGCAGTTTGTGGAAAATTGTTTATTTATCTTTATAATTAATAATATATTTTTATAATATATGAAAAAATATATGAAAAAATGTTATTATATATGAAAATAAATTTCACAGCGCTCATTACAGATGTTTAAACTGTGGATCATGAAATGCTTATGCTAATTGGAGACAGTGAAGTAGAAAATGTTCTAAAGGATTAGCTGATTTGAGATGTTGCAATCCCATAGACAGGATATCTGGAAGGTTTTAAAGTAAACAGTCAAAGATACAATGTTTAAGGCAGGGATTATACTTGCTTGTAGATATGTGGAAACTCCTTCTTATCATATCTAGAGAAAGGATTTATGGATAATTGGTGAACCACGTCTAGTTGAGCCTTGTGTTCACCTTTTGAAGAAATGTATGTCACTGGGACCCAATTTTTTTTTGTCTTAACCATTTCATGGTTGTGGGGGGC